ATTTTTTTTAAAAATAATAGAATATGTATATATATGTATTTATTTTGAATGTAGATGTACAAAAAATGTTATAATGATGATGCAAAATAAGTCTTTTGATGAATAAATTAGAAATATAAAAAATTTAAGAAATATCCATATTAATTTATTAATATTTATAAATGTTAAAATCAATAAAAAAATTTTGATTCTTTTCTATTTATTTATTTTAGCTTACATATATATGCTTTATTTTTATTTTTCTTAATACATATTTTTGAAATTGCTATTTAATAATAATTATTATTATATTAATAATAATAACAACAACATCAGCAATAATAAAATTTAATGTATAAATATAATCTCGTACAATGCATATATAATGCATAGGTATTTAATCTTATTTAAATATATTATAGTTTTTTAATTAAGAAAAGAGAAAATATTATCTAAATCTTTAAATAAAATAATAATATAGAAAAAAACAGATAAATGAAATAAAAATTAATATTGAGTGTTTTTTTAAATTCTTTTAATATATTTTTTTAGTGTGATTATATATAATTCTTTTAAAAAATACTCCTATTAATTACTAAATACAATTTTTAACTCAACTTTAATTACTTAATTAAAATTTTTTAATTAAAAATTATTATAAAGCTCAAGAATTGATAAAAAAAATAATAAAAAAATCTAAACTCTAATATAAAAAATAAAAATAAAAAAACCCGTGCGTTACAAAAACTAGTATTATATACAATACTACCTTCAAGAATTAAGTAGGTACTAAAATTTGTCATTTTTGTTTTAATTATGAAGAAACATTTTTTTTTATGAGAAGAAGAAACTATGTTAAAAAATAAGAAAATATTATTTTTACATTAAAATGTAATAAATGTATTTATTATTTTAACTTTTCATTTTCTTTCTCTTCCCATCTTATCTTTATCTTTTCAATTATTTTATCATTATTAAGATGAATAAATTCCAATTTTAGAAAGGATAACATGAAGAATTACAACGTATATTAATTATTAAATGCATGCTAAAAACTAAATGTATTTATATGGAGGTAACACTTTATCTTCCACATTGACTTAAAATTAATAATTATTTATTATATGATTTTAATGTCATAATAATTTTATATTTTAAAATGTATTAAATGTTTTATAAATAATAAATAATATAACTTAAAACTAAAATTAATGCAAAGAGACTATAATATTTTTAATATGAGTGACATTAATATATCTTATAAAAGAAAGAAGATAAAATGATATGTAAAAGATTGATTAAAATTATTTGTTTTATAAGTCAAAAAGATTTATGACAAAAAAATCTAACAAATTAAAATAGATATTTAGTTAAAGGAAAAAATATATTTAGTTGATAAAAAATAAAACATGTAAAATAATTGATTTATTAGAGAATGTATTAAATGTATTTATTAATGAATTTATCATATACTCTCTATGCTAAAATAACTATTGTTTTTTTAGTTTTTTCCCTTAAGTATTTAAAGATAATTTTTATATTTATTTACAATACCCTTAAAAAAAGAAGAAAAAAAAGATAAGAAAAGAGTTTTTGTGATTGGAAGATTAATTAAAATGAATGGACAATGATAAAGACCTAAGAAAAAAATATTTATTTATCTTAAAAAATAAAAAAAAAACTTATTTCTATTAATAATTTTTTAATATTTAAATCAATTAAAAATTTTTTATTAAAAAATTATTATAATATTAAATAAATAATATAAAAAACATAAAAACAATAGAAAAAACTAGTTGAAAGATAAAATGAACATATATAATAAATAAATAAATACTATTAAAAAATTTAAAAAAATTAGTAAATATTTTGTAAAGGAAAAAGGAAAAATCTAAATGTCCTGACATTAAAATTGTCAGGACATTTAACAATAATTATATGATAAATTTAATAAAATTAAAACTTATATCATACCCTACATATTATAGTTATTATTAGATATCTTAACACTTTTAATGCAAAGACGTCTTGATTTTTTTTCTTTGGTAAGGTAAAAAGATTAAATTAACTAATTTTTTATTTAATTAACTTATATTTTTTCATTTTTTTATTTATATTTTCCTCATTTTTCTTATTATCACTTAAATGTAATATTAAATAATAAAAAAGTAAATGAGATAATAATAAAACTATTTAGAATAAAATAATAAAATAAAATTTAAGGACCAAACTTTTAAGTTTTCAAAACTCAAACCCCCTAGCTGACCTCCACCAATACCCCAGGATAACAATGTGCCACTACTTCTACTTCCCCAAAAAGAGAAAAAGGGCTGCTCCCCAGGTGGACCGAGGCCCTGGCAAGACTGATTAGACAGTTCACATAGTCCACTAAAATAATTTTATAATCCCCATATTTATTCATCGATAAATTGTGAGTCCAGTAGGTGACGAGACTTATTCGATAGTTATCCATGAAAATAATTTTTCAGTCTCAACATTTATTGATCGATAGATTATGATCCCAATAAGTGTCTAGACTTATTAGATAGCAATCCATTAAAACAATTCTCTGGTCTCCACATTTATTGATCAATACACTATGACTAACACATGGCCAGATCTATTAGACAATAACCAATTAAAATAATTCAACAGTCCTTACATTTATTGATCCATAGATTATGACTGGGGCGTGACTTATTAGACAGTAATCTATTAAAATAACTCAACAATTCTCATCAAGGACAGAGTCAAAAATTTTAATTTAGGGTGAAAATTAGTATTAAAGATTTAAATTTTTTTAAAATATTTTTTGTGATAGTAATTTGTTTTTTTTTCTTTTTAAAAAAAAAGATTTACTTGTGATTTTTTATTAATATATTCTTAACAAAAATTAAAAATAAATGTATATATTATAATAATAAATAAAATACTATAGTAATAAATCATATAATGATCAATTAAAAAATTTTTTTAAATGTGTTTGTTAACAAAATCTCTAAAAACTAAGAGAAAAAATATCAAAAAAATTACATTGTTTTAATTTTTTTTTTAAAAAAAGACAAAAACAACATATTCTTAAAATAGTGTTTGGATTTTAGTGAAAGAATGTAATTTTGAGGTATTTTCCTCGTAATTTTTTAGAGGTTATGTTGATAAATACTAATATTATAAAAAATATTAGAATATTAAAAAATACTAAAATATTTCTTTTAGAAAGTAAACTCTAATTTTAATTAATTTAACACAAAAAATGATTATAAATTCAATCATGAAAGGTAAAAATGTATCTTAATGCCATAAAAAATTTAAATTATTATATAGAATATCAAGAGAGAAAATAAAAAATACTAAAGAAACTTTAAAGCTAATTAAATAAATAATTAAAGTTTTTTTTGGAGCTTAATGAAGAAAATATTTAAGAACCCTTATTCTTAAATAATTAAATTATCATAAAATTCATTTTATTTAAAATCATATCCTTATTTTTTGAAAACTTTTTATGTAAGTCATATATATTCTCTCTACGTTTGAAATAATTATTAAATTCATACTATAATACAAAATTTTTAACAAATAAAAATTAGGGTATCATATTAAATGTTTTTTAAAAGTTTAGGAGGGCAGCTGCCCCCCATGTCTTTTATTGGCTCCGTCCGTGGCCCTCATTTTTTTTTTTTTTTAACAAAGACAATAATTAGAAATTAAAAGTTAAAAGATAAGTTAGTATCTTACTCTTGATAAATTTGACCACTAATCAAACGTGTAATTTACCAACAGCCCTATTGGATTGCAGTAACTACTAATAGATCACAATAAGAGAGAATGCTGATGGTCCTCATGTTTAATGCTCGATAGAGTATGTGACTCCAGCAAATGACGTGACTTACTAGACAACGGTCCATAGAAATGGCTCCACAATTTAGAGGTTGGTTATTGTCAGCGTCAAACATTCAATGTATTCAGATATTAGAAGGCTCTGTGATGAGTTTGATTCTATTACTTTTCTACATACATAATGTGAGGAGAATTTTGCAATAGATTTCTTGAATAAAATTGAGTATAGCTTTGCTGGTTGGAACAAATGTTTATGTGTGTATTTGGATTAATTTTTTAAAAATAACTTATCATTAATATTTAATATTTAATATTATATAATTATTATTGTTAAAAATTAAAAACATTTAATTCATTTAATTATATTCAACAGCTAATCCATGAACTATTTATAAAAAAAAAATTCAATAACTAATAACTGTTAACCAAACACCTTTGACGATTCTCTGCCCCCTCTCTTGAATATTTTCCTAAAAAGGGGGATGGTTGGCGTTGCTTTTCTTAACCACCAGTTAATAAAATAACTAGACCTACTAAAATAATTTAAAAGTTAAAATTATATAAATAAAATTTTTAATTTAATAATTAATTTTTAAAAATATTAGTTAAAACATAAATTTTTAAATAAATCCTTAAAAAAATCCAAAAAAACAGCTATAAAATATTTTTTTTATACAAAAAATTGATGGGATTATTTTTCACTTTATTGAAACAAGGAATTTTTATAATTTTATTAAAAAAAATTTTAAAAATCATGCTTATAAACACTACTTTGGTTGTGTGTGTATATTTTCTTTGTTATTTTTATCTATGTTTTCCGATTTCCTGTTTCCAAACGGATGAAAGCATTCTTCTCAACGGTTCTGCTCCCGATTTCTATGACTAGGGTATGGTTCCTCCAACCAACTCCGTTTTGGAATTGTATGTTTTTCTCGAACATTAGGAAATTTTTTTTTTAGACAGAAGCCATATCTAGTAGTAGAATCAATAATTTATATTTTAGTTATCCAATGATACCAAGATTAGGATAGCTCTTGATTATTTGGAATTTAATTTACAGAAAAAAAAAAAAAAACAATATATAACAATTTACAGAACCTAAACTTGCATCTTATCGGCCTTGAACAATTGTAACAATCACATTGTTTACAGAGCATCTCTGTTACCCATGCTGAGAAGGGGACTCTGCATCTGCTGCAATATGTTTTAGAATGAAAGCAGGTTGTTTTGGAGAAGGGAGATCCACGATCTCACTGTTAAGCAATGAAGTGGCAGGTGGACATTGTTGGTCTATCTTTGGCCATTTCTTGCAGACACAACAATCCCACATGTATGCATCTTAGAATCTCTGTACGGTGGCATGGATCACAAACCACCTTATCTACCAATGCCAAAATGTTATCTTCATTCCACAATTTCCAAACCTGGAAAGTGCAAAGATTAGTTTGAGGGTGGAACTGAGAAACTAAACAAAGTGTTGATTGACAATGAAGCTTAACTTACATATTCCGGAAGGTTGGATATGTTAAGAGTAAGCCACTGTCATGCCCGCAATGACTAACCTGTGTTCCAGTTAAGGTATCTGGTGGTTCTAACCTTGTCTAACTCTTTTTTAGTCTTCTACAAACCAAATGATCACTGACACTGTTGTAGAGGGGCCGGGTGTATTTGTAAGTTCAAGGATTTTATTTATATGATGGGTATTCCTGGGGGCAGTACAGTAGTGTGTTATGGTTCACAATTGTATAGAGAGCATCAGGTTATGAAATGAAATGGGGATGAAGTGGGTATTTCTGACTGTAATTTGGCTTTTTACTCGCTTGACTATTTTTGGCTTGGGAGATATTACTGTATTTTGCGGTAGTATTTCAGACCTTGACTTTTTGCTAGAATGTAGTAAAGATGAAGTTTGGTGTTTGGCCTGTGATATTTGTCTCTGGCAATTTTATAATTACTTGTAATTAGTTTGTGATTTCAGTTTTTGTGTTTTTTTTGGTAAGTTTGGATAATATGATACATAACAAAAGGATAATACAATACATAACAAAAGGTAGCCCTCTCTTCTTAAATTCTTCTTTTACTTATCTTAAAATTCAAATTTAATATCTAAGAGAGGAAAACTTTTAAGGGGCTATAATTCCAGTTTCTACTCCTACTAGTTTTAAAAAATCTTTTGTCAAATAAATGTTAACCTATTAGCATTTTACTTGTTTAATAAAACAAGAATCATTAAAAGGAAAAGAACTTCTAATATCAAGTAGTCTATAATTATAAATATTCAGTATTTTGTTTGTTCAAGTAACGAAATAAGAATTATTAAAAAGAAAATAATTTTTAATATTAAAGTGTTTATTATTTATTTAATAATTTAATTTATGTAGTATCATATAATTCATGTTACACAGTACTTTTTTTAAAAAAAATTATAGTAATTGATTATTTAAGATGGATGGTTTAGCCTACCAAAGTTTTTTATTTTCTTTTGTTAATTTTTTTTTTTAAAAAAAAAAAACTTAACCTACCAAAGTTGCAGTCATGTGAAATAAAAGCACTAAACAAAGGAAAAAGTGTGTACAAAGGTGGAAGTCCTAGCCATCTCTAATTAAACTAAGAAAAGGAAAGGCAAAGGAGGAGTAATTAAGTGGATTGATGTCATTATTATTAGCCGAAAAGTTTGATAAAAATTGCGATCAAAGTTTTAGCCGAATGATTCTGTCTTATTTTATTTTTGGAAACAGAAAAGCCCACAAATCTCGACTGGGTTAAAGCCCTGTCCGATTCTTCAAAGCCAACAACCTATGGCCCATGCTTTGAATATAAAGGAGCCCAGCCCGTATATGTACACGATGAACAATTTGACATCCATAATGTTATAGGGCCTAGACTTCAAAAATTGAGAAAAGAGAGGCGCAAACCAGGGTTGCGGGAACCCAGGAACCAGAAAAACAAAATAAGGGTAGCAGCCCAATATTATCACTTGTGATATCCAATGAAAAATAAAGTCCAAAACTAAGATTTGTTGAAAAAAGAACCTATCTTATACCTCTTTGTTGTTTCGACCCTGACAGTGAGGGATTTAGATACAGAAAGAAGAGTTATTTTTTCTATTTTTTTTATGTAGCTTATTATTAGATACCAAAAAAAAAAAACTATAGGAATCTAAAAAATTAAACCAATAATGCTATACAACCAACGCAGGCCGCTTCCCTTTTTTTATGACTAATGCTATCT